GTATAATTAGTTGTGCTGCGGTTACGGCCTACAACGCATTGAACGGTCCCATTCCCGTCAAAGCAGGCGACTCCGTCCTTGTTCTCGGCACCGGGGGTGTCTCAACGTACGTTTTACTTTTCTTATCGACCACCACACCAGTGTATGACAACCAATATGCACAGATTCGCGTTGCAATTCGCGGTGGCGTCAGGCGCAATCGTCATTACCACGTCATCCTCTGACGGAAAACTCCAGACTGCTGCGAAATTAGGCGCGCATCATCTCGTCAATTACCAAAACACACCCGAGTGGGATGAAGAAGTCTTGAGAATCGTGAGCTTCTCATACCATTCATCGCGACTCATCTAACGACCTTAAAGACTGAAGGACGTGGAGTGGACCATGTATTCGAGGTAACTTTCTAAACTCTATATCCGATGCAGCTCCTCACCTTAGTCCATCACCAGGTAGGAGGACTCGGAACACTCCAAAAATCCTTGAATGCAGTAAGAGTTGGCGGGTCAGTCCACATCATCGGCGTCGTATCCCAGGCAAGTAAACCGACCTTGTCATTCAAACACTTCCAATAACCTATTCATAACCTCACCAGGACTCTGGGAATTCCGACTTTATACAAAAATCCATTGTTAAGTCCATAAGCCTGAGGGGCATTCACGTTGGCTCCCACGACCAGTGCGTTTCTTTCATTCTTAGAATCGTTGAAGATGGCTGAGGCACTGTTTCTCGAGCACAGATTCTTGAAGATGCTTCGATTGATAAATGCTCATCCTGAGAAAACGAGACCTGTCATTGACTCTGTGTTTCCGTTCGAAAGAGCAATCGAGGCCTATGAGCGTCTGGAATCTCGGAAACATGTTGGGAAGGTTGTCATTCGGGTGGCGAAGGAATGAAAGGACGTCGCCCGACATGGAAATCCACTAGCACGGGAGTCACGTAGTCGCGATAGACAAACATTTGTACTGAAAATAAATTGTACCTAACTCTACCTACGGATTATAAGGGTCCACATGTGGAACTGACTCTAACTGACTCCGTTGTTGGATTCTAGTTCCTTGTATGGTCAAAGTATGTAGTGAATCGCTTATACAAAACGGTGAGTGGATTCGTACATTGGAAGCTCCCGCGTGATCACGAGAGATGTTGCGGTAAGGATTACGGCGAGATCACACATATTGTCCTAAGATGCCCTAGCAGTGATTCATTATGTTCAGGGCAGTATGCAACGCTGATCCCAGGAATCTGAAGACATGGTCAAAAAGGTCATTTGAAGTGATTGCTGGGCTGCTGTCAGGTATAGCTTGATGGAGTATCTCGCGGGTTTCATGCAAGAGCAAAGGTACATATGGGGCAAACCGTCTGGAAGAGCATAAGCAAATAATGGTGGATCGTCTAGAACGGAGATTTTTGTTACGAGGTGATGACGTAAATCTGAATAAGGTTCTGAGCGATCCATTATCTTTTGCGATGAGATTCCATCAAGTGTAACGTGGCGAAGTACAGGGTGTGACACAGAATGCAAGAATAGCGCTCGCCACAGGACAGTACATAGGATAGCCACATCAAAGCCACATACCCTATTTAGGATAAGAACCCCAATAGGTACAAATGGAACTAAATAAAAATGCAGGAGGTCTCTCAAGGTCTTGATCGCGATCATGGAAGGCTTCACCAGGGTTCACAGCGCGTCAATTGAGCGAGTCGAGTGAGCGCGCGCTGGAACTCTCAGTCACATGCATGTCCTTCCGTGCAATCGGAATCATGGCGGAACTTCTATGGGCGCCAACACACTCTCATTCTCATACCCGAAATCTCTGCAAACGGTTGGCATAAAATTTTTCTGGCATCGAATATTTGTTCTTCGACATTCAGCCAAACTAATCCAGTGTTTAAAGGAGACGAGAACAATATGCAGAGAACAAATGTCATCTAAAACAAAGGTCGGCCACGAGACTTAGGAACTGGCCGAGAATACTTCAAGTCAGCGATGGTTTTCGCACAAGAAGTCATAGACCTCTTTATCGACGCGTTGGCAGCCCAAGCCAACCACAACCACGATTCCGACAGTTGGGATGCGCTGAAATCCTTCTCACTCGTATCGCACTCGTTCCGTCGTCGTGCAGCCGAACATATGTTCAACAGACTCCAGACCGCGCGGAAAGGCTTCGATCTGTCAACACAAATCGCCCTAACCCAGGAGCTCCTGTGTCTTATCAAGACCAGCTCCCCTTTCCTCTCATGCATGCGTGTCTTGAGAGTAGATACGGCGCTGGGGACGACGCCAGACTCTGCGATATTCGATATCATGAATTTCATGATACGTCAACTAGGCCAGAGTTACGGAGGTGAAGATTTGATCCACACCTTAGAACTGTGCGGCGACGACTGGGAGGAAGCGAGTCAGACCATACGAGACTATATTCTCAATATGCTCAAGAATGTGACGGGGTCCGTCCGGAGCATTCGGTTCTTAGGGATAAGAAATCTTTCACCTCTGCTTCTTACTCAATGTGCTAGAACGGTCACTGAACTGACGGTACATAAGTCCCGGTTCCTTATGCATCCAACGGACTTCACTCCCCCGTCTGTCCGTCTCAAGAAACTGACAATTGCGCATGATCTGGACAACTTCATGGAAGTCCTACAGAAACACTCTGCCATTGTCATTCTGTCTGAGCTACAGTGTTTGACTCTAATAACCGATTCAGTAAGACCCCAGGAGGCTCAGGCGCTGGGGAAACTGCGCTCAATCACACCGGGAACCCTGCGCATCCGTGAATTGTGAGTGAAATCTGCATACACTTTATCTGAGATCACTCATCTTCTTCGATGGATAGTCAACAGAAGTTCGATCGTGCGTAGATCTCAGTCTGTTCCACCATTTGGCTTCACTACGATTATCATTCAATGCTGGGAATGACACCCGTGGACCGTGCCCCTTCCAAGGTTAAAATTGTAATACGAGTGGGTTTGGCGTATAAAGGCCAGGAGGAAGATCTGGCACGCGTCCGCGTGCTTCTCCATGATTTCTTCTACGACACTTTCGTTAAACTGTCGGCCTCTACTTTAATCGTGGTGGAGGCATATCGATATCGCAACGTATATTTAGCTTAACCTTGCTTCCGGTTCAGATATTCTTCTATTCTCAAGGATTAAAGTGACATTGTGTCATTAATTTTGAGGGCTTCCTGGCCCTGTCGCATCCACTTCATGTTATCTGATGTACGTACGAATTACAATAAAGTAGCTATAATCTGTTCTTGCATCAATCCCACATTCAAGCGATTCTGACTCAATTCGCGTGAACCAGATAAGCAGAACAGTATCGTGAGATGCTCTCAGAGTGAGAGGGTCGGTCCACATCATTGGTGTCCCCAGGCAATTCTCCATGTTTCCTCAAAACCAACTCAAAACATCGCGTCTTGATGCAACACCAGGGCTTTGGGAATTGTGACTTTATGCCAAATCCCAAAAGGAAATTCCCGTTTGCTCGTACGTTGCTTGTGCGATCAGTGCATGCATGAGTCCCAGATTTGTTCCTGACAAGTGACGGGTGTTTTTTCATGTTTGTGAAGATCCTTCGGTTGATTAATATCCAATTTTCGTCCTTAGAGAGCGGGGCCTGTCATTTACGTGGCGAAGAAGGACTGATGCCGGTCAACATGGAATTTCTGCAATTATGGGAGTCATGGTGTCATATAATCTCCTAGACAGACATTCGTGTTTGATTTTTGTAGTTTACTCACGAATCATCTTGGTACAAAGGAGTTGTTCTGTTTTTAGTTGTAGTGGGTGATGGCATGATTGACGTTGTCCGTGTGAAGCAAAATGTAGGTCCACGGGTGAAAATGCTCTATCATCTCGACCTACTTGCGCAAAATTGCAAGGTAAGCATGACAGGAAAGACTTTGGAAATACTTTGGAAAGTCTTGTCAACATCGAAAATCCATTTGTCGTTGTTTAGCCGAACTCATCCAGTGCACGACGACCCCTGGCTAGAGGGACCACAATACATCAAATTAAGCGATGGTATCCGCACTCTTTCTCACAGATCTCTTCATTGAACTCGTTGGGTGCCCAAGCCAACGACGATGTCAGCATCTGGCAGGCACTCAAATACTGCTCACTCGTATCCCACTCGTTCCGTCATTGAGTGGCAAAGCATCTGTTTTATAGAATCCAGACCAGGCGAAAAGGGTTCAACATCTCCGAACAAATTGCCTAAACCCATGAGTTGCGGGACATCATCCAGAAAAACCCCCACTTCCGCTCCTGCATGCGCGGATTGCGCATAGATGTGGCGCTGGGACAACGCCTGCATCTGCGATATACAATATCGTGAATTTGATGATGTGGCACGGCCAGAGTCATGCAGGGAAAGGTGGGATCCACACATAAGAACTCTGCGGAGAGATTGGGGAGTATACGAGCGAGGAATTTATTATAGGGCTCTATGCTCAAGTTCGTGATGGGAGGTGGAGGTGCTTGCCCCAGTGTTCAACGGTTCTCACTCCTCTCTTCCTGAGCTGCCTGTGTGATATAGGCGTGACATCTTCGGTGATGTAAACAGACTCTCCTCATCTTTTCTGCACGGCACGCGCAAAGCATTTACACATTGCTTACAAACTACGTTGACTACTTACGTTCCGGCGGGTCGTATGTAGTTACTCTTGGCACCACGCAGAAGAGCGCACTCGTAAATTGAGGTAGCGACGACGCTGGGATGGCACAGGTTGATAAGAGTGCCTGCAGGATTGTCCACGAGCTTGAGTTGGAAATGATGATTGTAGCGCGTAGCTTCTTCAAACTCCCTCGTCTCGCATCATCTGTTCACGGCAATTCACATGCGTACCCGCACACAATCAGAGGAGCTCGCGGAGCTGCAACCAAAGGAAACCCAGAAACACGTCCCCACTGAGTGTTGTTAGCAAGCTGTTCGGGTGGGGCCCACAACCACATCTACACGCGAATGTAGGTTCCCAAGCCTAATTGGGAAGTCTGGCGCTATAGTGTAGTGGTTATCACTCAGGATTTTGACCCCTCCCCATCTCGTAGAGCCGTAACAATTTCCTGTAACCCCAGTTCGAACCTGGGTAGCACCTTATTTTGAGCGTGTGTGTTGTGAGGTGAGATGTGGCGCGGTGGTTGGCGGCTTTCTCTTTTCTTTTCTTTTTTGGTTTGTTTGGTAGATCTGCAGGATATTATCACGCTGGGAGGATTTTATGTTTATTCAAGGCCAGGGTACTTTGAGTTAGACTCGCCAGCCATTCGTTCTGATGTTTCCTCCTCTCAGTGATTTGTTCACAAGCCTATTCGAGAGCCTGAGTCCTGCATTCGGCTGCGTTCTACTGAATAAACACCCGTTTCCGTGCATCATCTTTGCTCGGGGCTACCTCCGTGGTGATAGGAGAGCCAAAAAGGGCGAGAGAGAAGGAAGGAGAGAAAGAAGACCTGAAATCCTGCTGCGCAAGCTCGAATTGGTCGTCTCTTCTTGAGCCGCACGATTTGGATCTCGTTTTCGTGTAGGCGCTAGAGCTGCAGTGTCAATTATGAGTATGACTCCCGTTGGTGTTTACGTGGAAGTGAGAGACATCCGTGGCTTTCAAACAAGCGCTATGTACAAGCACGTAAGCCCGTTCACGAGTCATACCGCCACAGCTGCCAACTATTGCACTGCGCTTAGCGCCGAGACTTCTCTATTGGGCTAGGGAACCTACATTCTCAATGTGGACGAGTTCGGGTGCTGGAGTTGGCGAAGGGTTACCGGTTGAATACCTAGAGACCTTGCTGCGAGATGTACGGAGGCGAGCGTCAACCTGTACGGTCCGTTGTTGAACACCGGCGCAGGAGATTATCACCGTGTTGCGGTATACGCCATCGTCTCGGACACGGACCCATAGTCTGTTCCTCGACAAACTATCCATAATTCAGGACGTCTAACTAGGAGTAGATTTCTGGGCAGTTATGGTTTTATTTTTTCACGGTCTGAAACTACTCAACAATTAATAGTGTATGAGAGGCATCGTAGTCGGGAATCATTGACGTGGACGAGTTCGGGTGTTGGACCTTGGCCTTGGGAAGGGTCACCGGTTGGATACCGAGGGGACTTCCTGCGAGATGTACGGAGGCGACTGTGGCCAATCTTAAGCGCATTCAGTGTAATGTAGAGTGTAGAGGAAGCAAGTCAAAGAGGTATTATTTTCTCTCTCTCTCTCGGCGTTCGCTCTTTCCGGATCCGCCACAATCCTAATTGCCCAGGCACCCTACCAGACCCTACACTTCATTAGCACATTGTCATCATTTCGACTACTCAAGAGGTACTTATGCCACGACGTTGAGTTAGGGCCCGCACTGTGACATCCATTCTCAGCATGCACTGCCGACCCTACTCGTACCTGAAGCTACAGCCCCCGATTCGGTGCCGCACAAATATGAAACCTTATCTAGTGCTCGGGGTGTTGGTGGAGAGCAATTGACGAGCAGGAGACGAGTGGAAGAAACAAAAGTTTTTTCCACATTACGCATAACCGTCAATGGACGAGTACGTGCAGGTGTTTTGATAATCGCGAAGGAAATCGAAGCATCACGCCCACATCACACCACACATAGCCCATCCGATCAAAGAGAGACCACGAAAAACGCCAGCCCGAAAGACGTATTCAATCTAATCGACGTATTTGTTCGATCTGTTGGGGCCTGTGACGGTGTAAAGAGATAGCCGTCTTTGAGTCGTCTTCTTGATTGGTCTGGGTGGCTTGCTTTCTCAGGATTATCTCAACCCAAGCCGCCATAACGTGGTCGACGAGACTGGGATTCACGCTCAGAGCCGCAGAAGTACCGATCCATTACTCGCGTTTTCGAGCAACGTGTACTACACGTTGCATGCATAGCATGCATTGGAGCGTTGATGGAGAAGCAAGTGACGAGCAAGAAACGAGTGCAAGAAAAAGAAGTTTGTTTACATTACGCATAACGATCCATGTACAACTTAATGGGCATCATACGTTGACCCTACGTATCTATTCCAATAATCACGATCGCAGATTTACGCCCTCCGCCCACTACAACACAGCCATCCGGTCAACGAAGGACCACGAAAGGCGCCGGCCCGTGAGACGAACAAACGGCGTCCAATCTGATCGAAGCGTTTGTGCGATTCCTGGCGATGTTGAGCTCGGTTGTGAGGCGGTTGTATTCCTGCTTCTTTCGCGCTGCTTGCTTTCTCAGGATCTCTGAGGTGACCACACCCACACTCGCACTGCCAGAACGTAGTCAACGTGGCTAGTGTTCACCCTCAAAGTTGCAGAAGCAAGACACGGACTACCGATTTGTTACTCGTGTTTGTGAGCGATGTTGGAGCGCGTAACCCTTACCTATGCCAATCCAGTAATCCATAACCCCCATACCCCCAGAAGCACCACCAAAGGGCGTGCATAGGTTATGGGTTATGACTCATGACTTATACCCATACGCCCATAACCACAAGCGAGGGCTGTCCACTAATGAGGTAGTACAGGTTCTAATGGACTGTGTTGAGCGCCTAATGCCAGCCATCCGTCCCGAACGCCCCACGCCACGATTGTCCTCCAAATTGCCTCAACCAAGCCTGGACACCCACACCCAGACGCCTATTACTCGGGTCCAGCCATGATCTTTCACTTTCCGGTTCCGTGGACTGATCTAATAGTACAGATACCAACCAGGCACCGGGTCATGCAGTGCTATGCAGGTCGTCAATTCAATTCATGGAGGGCTCATGCCGCCATGGCGTCATGAATCATCAGAGTAAGCATACCCGACCCGCCAGATTGCTTGTGTTCGGGCTACCGATTTCATGACTCGCGTTTGGGGGCGATGTGTGCGCGTTGGAACGTTGATGGAGGAGCAAGCGACGAGTGCATAAAAGAATAGATTGTTTACATACGGATAAGTGTCCATGGACAACTAAATAGGCACCATACGTACGTCTTCCACCGATCACGTAAAAAATGTCGCACTACATCATCCCCCCACCACACCACCCGTTGAGCCCGTTGAGCCCGTTCGGACGAGAATCAAGGGAGAGATACGGCTAGAGACAGGGGTTCCTACTTGTATCTGAAGATACAGCCTGCTTTGAAGTCGCACAAAACCTTACTCTCGCTTGCGCTTGTGAGCTATGGTGTTGATACTCTAGTTACCCGTGGTTATTATTTGAATGGGAGAAGGAGAGGCGACCGAGAGTTGACGAAGAGTCTGCAGGAGTCGGGGTAGTGTTTCGGTAGAAGTGAGAGACTTCAATTTCACTGGCCCTCACAGAAGCGTGCAGCCTGCGGAAGCATTCGCGAGCCCCATAGCCATAGCCCGGGGGACCGAACCAGCATCTGCGATGCGCTACATTGTATGCAGCGCGAGGCGAGGGTTTTCGATCAAACCACACCGCCACCAAAGGGAATCTACACACGTCAGTTTTGGTAGAGATCCCGGGCGTGTATGGGTTATGGGTTACGGGTTATGAGTCACAACCGTTATCATGTGCGACCCAGATACGACCATAACCCATATCGTTAGCGCGGGCTGTCCACCAATGGGTATTGGTTCGACTGTGTTCAGCGTCCCGAGAGGCCCCGAGCCATCGTCCCGAAAACGCCACGCCACGATCGTCCAAATTGGCCTGACCACCCATACACAAGCGCCTGTTAGGTACAGCCAGAATCGTTATCTCCGATAATCGTGAGCTCCCTAATAGTCTCTGATAGCCCAGGCACCAAGCGCCAATCGGGCCATGCAGCGTTATCATAACTCATCTCAATCCACGCAGAGTCAGAGTCGTCCTGCCATGGTTTCATGAACGTCGGAAATCCTACTGACAACCACACTTGACTCGTAAGCGGACGAGGCCAGTGTTCCTACTCAGAGTCCGCAAGCAAGAGACGGGCTACCGATTCGCGAGCAATGTTATACTGGAGCGTGTGGATGGAGGGCAAGGGACGAGTGCCAGAAAGAAGATGTTCACATTATGAATAACCGTCCATGTACGAACGAGTAAAAGGCACCATACGTGCATGTGTTCCAGTAATCACGAAGGAAGTCGCGGAACCCATCACGCCCACGCACTGCGCCTAAAATAATCGATGTGACTTGTTGGACTGTGACGCTTGTTTCTCAGGATGTCTGTGTGCGGTTGGTTAGTATAGGTTGATGGTTGGAGGGAGGGAACAGGAAGGTGAAGGAGCCGAAGGAGGAAAAGAGGAAGGGGAAGAATGAGCTAGAATGAGAGCACTGAGAAGAAAGAGACTAACCCCGATCGTGCTGCGACTTCTTTTCACTTTTCTTCGAATTCGCCATTGTTTCTTGAGCACTAACTAATCCACAACACGCCATAACCCTCATAACCATAGGTTGGGACCGCCACCAAAGGAATGTGCACCAAAATTGAACCAGAACTGGCAACTCCGCAACGTCAGTTTGGTGCAATCTCGCGGGCGCGTATGGGTTATGGGTTCTGAGTCACGAGTCATAGCCCGTACTCGACCCATACTTACACGTCCATAACCCATAACCCATAGCCCATAGCCCATAACCCATAACCCATAACCACAGGGGGGGCTGTGTACGCCGCATGGGTATGGGTGTGGGCATGAAGACAGGGTGTGGGCATGGGCATGGGTTAAGACAGGGTGTGGGCATGTGTATGGGTGTGGGGTATGGGTCATGACAGGGTCGACTGGACTGTCTTCAGCATCCTGAGCCAGCCATTCACCCCGAACGCGCCGTTATCGCCATCCAATTTGCCTGAACACCCACACCCAGGCGCCTGTTACACGACACAATCTTCATCTCCAAATACCCTCGAATTGTGTTATAGCCTAGGCATCCGTTTTTCGATTCATGGAGGCTCGTGTTCTGCCATGGCGATGAATCATCACACTCGACTTGCAAAGCTAGTCAACGGGCTAGTTAGTGTTCACGCTCGGAGTCCACATGCCCAATGCCCACGGATTCGTTACTAGCGTTGAGGTGTATGCATTGAAGAACCAGTTCAACAAGCATACACGCGCGTGTATTTAAACGATCGGAAATCCCGCAATCCCGAACAAACCTCATCCCGCCTACCCACACA